CTTTAGTTTTTCTATTTTGGTTGAACAAAAACGTGAACTGACCACATTGGTACAAAGCTTGAAGTCATACCTTAATTGCTTCTACAATATATCAGACAAAAACCATGAAAATACTGGACTACAATGTGATGTCGAAATGGCTTTGTTAAGAAAAGCAGCCCCTCGTTTTCAGCTCACCCAATCTTAGTAGTCAGGACATGCAAGTCAAGAGGAGGAGGTGAGAAGAAGCAACATGACAGGATATAGGATCTTGAGGTGTGCCCAAACACCTTGTGCCATCGTGCTGGGCTCCGCTGACTCCTGAGGGGTGTTTTGATTGGTTCATTAGCAGTACAGTGACACCTGAGCGCACATGCTGGGAGTGACGACAAATCTCGCCACGTCTTTCTTCTTCTCTCTCCCCTCTCTTTCAATGCAGCACGTGACCCTCACACTATCTCCAATCGGGATTTCAGAATATTACAAACAAAAGTCGCAGGTTCTTAAAAAAGCTCAGTGTAACACATCGCTCACATTTTACATCCCTTCAGCTTTAAATTATTTGAAAATTGTGCCTATTATGGCTTGTATTAAGCAGCTGTTAGATGCCTACTTCCATAGCGGAGATACTGCAGCTATTTTCTAGGTTGGGTTGGTATATCATATGCATGTGAGTACACACATGTACACACACACGCTACCATTGTAGTGGGCTGCACAGCTCTCAGGGTCTCCACCAGGGATAGTTATAGCTGTCCATTAGTGACTGCTCTGAGCCAAGAGGAGAAACTGGGTCAGAACTGCATAAGAGAGAAAGTATATTGTATCTATCTGTCTCTGATTCATAAAGACTAACACACACACACACACAACACACACACACACACACCGACACACACACATACACACACACACACACACACACACACACACACACACACACACACACACACACACACACACACACACACACACACACACACACACACACACATCAAACATAGAGACACACAACAGAAGTATTTTTATATTTGCCCTGCTCTGGTTGTTTATGCACATATCCATTAGCCCCAACTGGAGCTCTCTACAGCCATCGTTCAGACCTTTGGCTTTATATGTGTATGTTTCCATTTATCTGTTGTTTAGATTCCTCACAGGACTTAATGACTAACAAGGTTTTTCCTGAGAGCTAATTCACCAACCAGCAGAGGTAGTCAACAATATCTCCCTTTGCCCTAAATATCATTTTGTGGAATTTTAACTATGGTGAATGGACTGCATTCACATGCGCTTTCATCAAGAGCCAAGTGTTTTACAATGACCTGCAGCGACTTGCTAAGGGACACTTACACAACTATTAGGCAGAGCTGGCAACCTTACCAATTTGAACACAGATGAATGTCACCAGCATTCATGTAAAGAACTGGGCTCCGACTCTCTGTGGCTATACTGACTGAACGGACTGAGATGTGTTACTTATATTAATGATCATATCATATCGTTCACGATATTGATCACCTTAAAAGTGTTGCTATCAGACAAGTTAGATGCGCGTTACAGTGGCATTGATATTGTAAATGAATTTGTCAAGGTTCAGTCATGCTGCAGCCTCTGGATAACTAAGTCCCCTCAGGTGCTTTTAAAAGAAAACAGCATTCAGGGATAGAAAACCTCACAGAGCTGAATAGAGTGCAAACTAAGTGAAACATGAAATCAGGCCAGTCAAAAACTGGCACAATGAAAAAGGCTGGTAGGAACAGTCGTAGCCTCTGTATTTCACAATTTGAAAACAACCATGCTGCTTCATTAAAATCGCCATAATTGAATTATATTGTAAGAGGCACTAAAAGTCCTTCCACATGATGAGTATAAGCAAGAGGTTGATCCATTGCTGTGACTGTTGACAGCAACAGAGACCCCAAGACTTTTTCAGTAATTACAGTCTAATTGCCTTCTTTCTTTTAAAGAATACTTCTACAACATTGTCAGATTTCATGATTGACAGTTAGAAATAAAAAAAAGGATGAAAATTGATGCAGCAAAACCAGAATTATCTTTTTTTATTCCACATCTTCCTCCTTCTTATCAAAAACCTGGAACCTACATAAGCAACAATGCAACTTGAGCGATGACAGTTCAGTCAGAGATTCAGGTGTGTTATGCTACTAGGAGCTAATGTAGCCTCGAGCCTCTGGCCTGATGCAAAGATGAAGAGCGGACTATAGAGCTCACTTATATCAAACTTCACACTCCCAGATTTTCTCTTCAAACCCTAAACTTGTTGTCTTAAGCCTCAACTGATGCTGACCCAAGTGACATCAGATTTTATGCTACGTTTTCCACATATACAGTAGCTCTCCCCAAGATCTTTCCCTGTTTAAGGTACTTGAGGACACTTGTCACAGCATTGCTCAACAGTATTTTCACATGATTTAGCTACAGAATGTCATACAAAAATGTATTCTCAACTTTGGTTGTTGTTGTGGGTGGCAGCCTGAATTTTATAACAAACATAACCCTGGGCATCTTCTACTAACTGTCTCCAGAGCTGTGTCCTCGGACATCTTTTGCATATTTTGCATACAGATGACAGTCATTGCATGAGAACAGATACTGCAGAGGTGGTTGATTACTATTTAATAGCCCTCTTCAGGCAAATTAAATTTGCCATGGTCCATATGTTGATTTAGAGAGGTGAGTGTGACAGCGGATTAGGTGGGTAGGTGATCAGTTACAGTTTTGCGGGAAAGAACGATTGCTAACAGAATAAAATTTGATGGCAACACTAGAGTGATCTAGAAAAAAAACACCAGCATCTGCCTCCCTCTCTGATCTGAGGAAACTTGCTTAATTTAATGTTGATTAGACCCTGATGACACTGGTTCGCACAGCTAATATTTAGTAGGTGCTGATTTATGAAATCACTGTAATAATGATGTTATTGACAAGGATGATCTAGCATCTATTAAGAGATGATGATTGTCACCACGGGACCATGTTAGAATGAGTGTAGTTCACTAATCTGAGCAATTTACTCACAAGCAGATAGTTAACAAGGCAAATACAGTCAGCTCTGATTCTACACTCCCATTCTGTTTCTAACATTTCCCTCGAGCGAACGCGTTAGTCTCACTACTTCATTTCTCCCGACTGCAGCTTTGTGGAAAACTGTTGAGAGCTACTGTATGTGAGGTATTGGGCTGTATGTCTGCACTGCACCTCCCACACTCAACTTGAAGTGGTTTCAAAAGGAACAAGGAGCTGTCACTTTGAGAGTGGGTGGTTATGGAACTGTCTCCAGCAGAACACTTCTGATTTATGCCTGTCTCAAAAAACAAAAACAAAAAAAAAAAAAAACACACTATCTCATGAGTAGATATGGTAAATGTACACCATTCTCCTCATTTGACAACATGAGTAAAAAACATGATAGGAGGATCGCAGCACAGGTTGTCTTGATTATACTGGCACTGTGCTGTAATGTGGCTCGCACCGCATTAGATTAAAAATCTTGTCAAGCTCACTGAAAGACTTCAAGAAGAAAAGAGAGGAGATATTTGCAACAAGGTGTTACTACCTTTTCTATGGTAGATGTACTAGTACTATATGATATTATATTTTCATTATGATCATGAAACTACATGTCCGTAATTAGTACAGTGTTGGGGAACACTGCAAAATTCTGTGTTATGATAGTACCTGAGACATTTACTATTTTAATAGAATATACAGTTCATTTGATTTGATATAAATATTCTTTCCCTTTCACTTTGACTAGGATAGAGGATCTTGCTCAAGGACATATTGACAGGTGGGGCTAAATCTGAGCACTCCATCTGTGGCGTGATCTCACTACACAGGCCAATCTGTTACCCCTGCTATGATGTTATGTTGCCACGCTATACCAATTACTGTTAAATTACAGTAATCCAGACACACTGTATTTGTTGTTCTCTTAAAAAAGCACTAAATGTCTTTGCAATAATTGATACAGTATTCTGCATTGCGCTAACGCTTGGCAGGTCTCAGCCGTTACTGAGGAGCAATGTGCATTCACTTGTTGCCAGTCGGCGGCCCAGGTGTATAAAAGCTTGCATATTAATTCTGCCACACTGATGCTGTATTAATGCTGAACACTGGGATGCAACAATGGTCTTACCACGCTCTTCAGCTGCAAAGCCATCCTACAATGACAGTCACAATGACAAGGTTGGGAACTGCGCAACTCATAGAAGAAAAAGCAAACACGCTAAAACTCCCACAAGCATACTTAAGTGTTCACCGCACAATAATGCCATGTATATGAAACATATAGTTGCGTGCTATGATGGTATTACATAACAGCAGCCGGGGATGCAGCTACAGCAAAGGAGCTCTATGTTCCAAAGGAATTGACCACTCTTCACTGATACACAAACCAACAACTCTTTCACATAGTTTCACTGTGTGTACCGTAGCCAACACACACATACATTAGGTACAGCAGGAATCGGCTTTTAAACCTGGAGTGTCATATCCTGATATTAGAATAAAGGCAGAGTCTGAGTTGAAACTCTTATTTGATGATGTTCATTGTACATGTTTGCACAAAAGTGCCAGACACTGCAGCATCTGATTAAACCTGGCCCAGGTCGCCACCTAGTGGTTAAAATTAGCAGCAAGTGTTTGGTTAGAGGGTTTGGTTCAGGGTGTTTATATTTAGCCTCTCTTCTAAACAAACAAACAAACAGAAAACATCCATGTTAAGAGGTAAATACTGACCCTGGATCTGTTTAAAACAAAACCAAAACAAATACAGCTCTTTATATGTATGTACCCACACAAATTTCTAATATGGCTTAATGCATTAATAAATGTTTGGCCCCCAGGCCCTGCACCCCCTCCGCCCTGATGGTGGATCCTGCCATGCAACAGAGCGGTAACTAGTGATGGAATTAGAAATGTCAGTATGCAGTAGATCACAAATAAATATTTCATTCACATGTAGGTTTTATTTAACAGTTTCTTAGTAAATGTCTTACCTTTGGCCTTTCATCCAAGATCTGCTGACGGATGTCCTTGTGCTTCTCTAGTAGTCTCTCCTGTCTTTTACTCTGTGCATCTTCCAACTGCCCCACCACACACACACACACACACACACACACACACACACACACACACACACACACACGCACACACACACACACACACACGCCATCAGCAGGTGTATGGACAGTGAATACAAACTTGAATTTCTTTATGACAGCATAGCATTATCTTCTCTTACCCGTTTGATGTACTGCACCACCTCGTTGACAAATGATCTGTTGATCTCCAGCTTCTCTCTGTAGGGAGAGTTTTAGCAACCATCAAACAAGGAAGGTGACCATGACAACGGAACTAAATCTTTAGCTTTCAGTGACATCTAGTGGCCATACAAGTATAACATCCAAAGCCCACAAAGAAATAGACTTTTTACTGTTCCTGTTCAAATACAGATACTTACTCCTCTGTCACATTCTTGTCCTTAGATTTGGCTTCATTGATTTTCTCTTGCCTTTTCTTGTCCATTTTCTTCTTGAGATCTTTCTTTTCTCTGTATATGATGAAGCAAAGAGAACAAGATTGAGATGAATGAAAATGTGTGTTTGTGTGAACATGTGTGCATGCTGTTTGCTGAAGGCACACGCAGTCTTACTTTTCACAGATGTCTCTGAGCTTCTTGAGCTGAGCGCTCTGGCACTCCTCCGCTATAGTGGTCAGCTTCTCAACCAGCTGGAGAGAGACACAGAGTGAGGCAAAATTTGAAACTAAGAACAAAATATCGCAAAGTGGGTGAGACAAGAAACACCTGCTTTTAATTCTTTTATTATTCTAGTTAATAGTTCTGTTTAACTCAACCTAGATTTATTGACATTCTGATCCCAATTAAACTGCATTCATCACAGTTTCCAAAATGCTTGTTGTCTTTTGCTTGAATAAATCTTTCTGTGCTGACTGTGCAGGTGTACTGGAGCAGAAGACATTCATCTTTCCACACCAGACAACAGAACATGGGCACAGGCAGCAGAATGATGGCTGTACTATTCTAGGAGGGGGGGGGCTGAAGTTTATTCGCTTATTCATTTGCTTGATATGGTTAATCTGCATGAGCCTCTCTGAGCTTTGGGAGTGCAAGAGAGAGTCAGCGCTTTATCAAGTCCGATACAAGTCGGGGCGAGCTCCAATGTGTGTGTTGCATATGTGTGTTTATCCCACTGTTACATACAGTGCGTGCTTGTTTATATTTTGTATGTCTATGTGTACTGTTTGCATAGAATCTCTGACGACCCCGACTTGTATTATTAACTCTGGGAAAGTGCATATAAGGAAATGGCTTACATAAACGTTTTTACATTGTCATCAATCTGTCTCTCTACAAGAGCTTAAGAAGGGCACACAAGTTCTTTAGAGACAAGTATGAAATTAGCTGCAAGTGCGGTGGCCATAAATAGGCAACTAACAGATGTACAGAGATGACAGGAAATCAGAGGCTCTAAGTCTTCTCTCCATATATGTGCAGTTTGTACCTCACAATAAGTATAAAATATTTTATGGACCTCTGGGGAACAGATATAAGAACGAGTATAAGATGACTGATTTGCAGATTATTCGGCTGTTTCACTACGAATAGCAGAAGTGATTCAAGGACCTGAAGTGAATTGGAGTCTTGGATATTTGTCCATACTATATGTAGTCAGTAACGATAGTAAACGAGGACACTGTAGATCAGACATTGTAGAAGTGAAAACCGACATTGTGAGACAGATTAGTCAAACCAGCTGCACTCACACCTACATACATTCTGGTAAAAAATGGTCTCAAGACTTTTGGGACCCCAATGTATGTGTGTATTTGTTGTATGAGTTTGTCATGTACCTGTTTGATGTGTTCTCGTTTCTGGTACTTTTCGCTGTAGTACTGCTCCTGGCGAAGTGTGAGGAGCTGCTGCTGCTGCTGCTCCTTCAGCTCTGCAAGCCTCTGGTTGCACTCCTGATCCAGCTCACACAGCTCCTGGTCCAGCATCGACAGAGAGGGCTCGGACCGGCTGGACAAGTACACGCAAACACACAGACACACACAAACAGACAGAGTATCTGCAAATTAAGGTAGTTGCTTCAGAGTAAGAGTAAATAAATACATGTCATATGGTTATTTATATGATATGAAACTGCTATAATCATCAGAGCAAATTTCCACAAGGATCACTTCATTAGAGTGTGTCTACTGGTAATTAAAATAACAGCCTCTACGTGTCTGCAGAACTCAGACAGCTGTGATAACAACATTGATGTTAGTATTTGAAGTAATTTCAAACATCAGGAAGGACATTTTTCTCAAGGAAACACGGTTGAAATGTGTTATCTTTTCTTTTGCAGTGGACCTCTGAGTTCCTGTCTGTGCTGAGTTCTGATGCTTCGGTGTGTGATGGACTCCTGTGGGTCCTGAATGTGTCCCTGAGGTTGGGGGGAAGCCTTATCCATCTTATTCTTATTCTATGCATAGCTCAGCCTCTTTCTTCTTTCTGAAGAGGGCAAGTTCTGCCTTGTTGTGTTTGTTTCTGTGCAGTACAACATCCAACAGCGGATTTTAATGTGTATTTCATGGCGTGTTTGTGTAGATGGAAGACAGACAGAAAGACAGAAAGAAAGACTTAAGGAGGGTAGGAAAATTGATTAACTGGTATACAATACTATTTATCATAACTTATGATGCAGTGTCGTAATTTTCTTTTTATAACATTCCCAACTGCGCATGTAGTAATTAGTAATATAGTAATTTACAGCCTTTCCCTGAATGAATTTTAAATATCCCCAGAGAAGCAGCTTGTTAAAACTGTGAGCTACACACACACACACACACACACACACACACACACACACACACACACACACACACACACACACACACAGTCTGTAAAGTGTGTGCAGATGGAGAGAGCAACAACAATATGCTTACGAGATCAGAGTTTTCTTTGCAACTCAGTACAAGTGAGAGACAGGAGCTTACTCAAATCTTACATGTCTTGTAGCTGCATTGTGTTCTGGGTTTTTACAGAAGTGTTTTGCACTTTGTTGATGCTAAAACTTCCATTTTCTTTCACTATGTAGTGAAAATGTTCTACATTAGCCACTGGCTTTGTCTTTCTTTGCTGTGCTGACGCTTTTGGTGAAGTCCCTTTGAAGGTAGAGAGAGCAGAGGGGAAATACTTCAAAGAAAAGAGCTGAAGAGATCAACCAATAGTGGGACAGTTTGAAAAGGAGAAGAGGATGGCTACCTACCTTTTCTTACCGTCTCGTTTGTGGCTCTTCTGCAGGGCAGAGCGCCGGCGCTGATGCTGGCTCTGTAGCTCGGATACACGAGCTGTGTGCTCCTTGATCAGCTCGCTGGTCTTGCGGTGGTGTTTTCGAACCAGCTCCTTCATCTCCTTGTACTGCTTCCTCTGCTCCCGAACAAAGCCTTTCTGTTGCTTCAATTCCTCCAGTGTCTGAGCCTCCAGTTCTGAAGACAAGTGATGAAAGGAGCAATGTATAAGTAAAAATCATCCTTTGTACAACAGCAAATTTCTGCATTTCACTACATAATTCTAAGGGTTAAGGAATAGTAAAGTCTAAAAAGAAAACTCACCAGAAATAGAAAATTATAACATAAATCATTAATACATTAACAAACTACAAAACAAACACTTTGACATTGGACTATACTTAAAAGCATTCTTCTGAGTATCATCTAGAGGAAAACCAAAATCAGTCTGAGTGTCTGGAGGTCAAATAATCATTTAATTGATTTCACATACGGTAAGGAGTAAATTCAGTAAAGCAAGTAACAGATACAAGAGTGAGCGTTCAAGGCTGAGGTTTGACAACATTATCTTACCAGTGAGAACGCTCTGAATGATATCTTCAGTCTTCACCGATGGTTTCAGCGAGCCTGGTCACCAAAAACAAAGCTCACAAGTTAGTTTTACAATAAAGCACAAATCACAAATTATTTACAACAAAGGTAGTTTTTTCATATGTTGTTTTGATATAGATAAATAACATGGTCCAGGGGACAAGTAACATGTATATGAACAGTAGAACCATATGTATCCCTCCCAAAAAATCGAAATCAACATAAAATGCAGGGAACGATACATTTTCGGTTATTATCAATAAAATCTTAAAGCCAGACTAAAATTATTACTATTACTATTAGCAGATAAGTTATGGGAGTAATATCATGATTAGACAGAATATTAATTGCAACATTTCACAAAAAAGTGCTAAATTTAAGGGTTTGAATATGTACAAACTTTATATTCCATTTTGTCATCTAAGAATAAAGGCAGAGGCAAGTTTTACCTCAATCTAATGTTTAATAAATGTAATAATTGTAAGGGTAATGTAAGAACAATGCACATCCACCTTTCAATGTACGTACAATGGACTTTGTGTGAAATTTCAGCTATTGCACATGTGTTATGTATATAGCACCTGCAGACTGAGTCTGGCCGACCAGCGAAGGGGGTTTCGGGGCGATAATGGGTGTGTGGGTCAGTCCGTTCTCTGCAGGCAACGCTACCCTCTGGTCCACCTTAGATTCTGAGGGGGCATCACTTCCTGCCTCCACCTGTCAATCACATAAAAGATTCAACATTGGGATCAATCAAACTTGTCAGTCAATAGAAGTGATAACACTGGTCACCACTGACAGAGGAATTTAGTGCAGACCATAAAACCAAATAAGTATCATTGTTTACATGAAGACAGGTCGTCTTTACAATTAACAAGTTATCAAGTTTCTTAAATTAAGTTCAATACAATGGACAGCAAATTTATCAGAGTACGACAGCAGTGAAACACACACGCATCTCTTGCCACACATACAACTCGTCTTTGCTGCTGTTGTGAAAAATTTGCAGTTACAATGTTTTTTTCCCTCCTACATCGCTTAAACTTGATTTAAAGATTCCCTGTGTATCTCTTTCTTTAGTGTCACAGAGCATCCGAAGCCTATTCTAAGTTTAAAACACATTCATTATAGATTTTTTCTGAGGAACAAAAAACCTCAAATGGTGGTATCTGTTTTCTATTTTGCTGTACCTGTGTCCTGCACGACAGTTTGTAGACATAGCTTTGGTAACCCACTCTCAGCATTGCTTCCTGTGCCGAGGCTCGGCAGATCTTAATTTCCCCTAGGCTCGGCTGAATCTCCAACTATATGCTCTTATCTCTGAAAGGTTAATGCAATTTTAAATAATCTCTGTTCTAGTCACGCTAACCAAGATCTTTCTCCCCCTGCTCTCTCTACATTCATCTCCCCACACTGTGCTCTGCCTTTCCATGCTCTACCTCTTTTGGTGACTGTTGCCATGGCCACAGCATGAAACTGCTCTCTGTGGGAAATCGTATCAGCTGGCAAATCAGATAAGAGAAGCCCCTCAGGAATAACCCTTCTTTCCAGTCCCCTTTTCTAATAACCTCAGATAACCCTGTGTCCTGCCTTGCCTCTCACCCTAAATTTATCCTGACTTCAGTCTTAGAAATTGGTCACATTTCTCCTCAGATATCATCCCCTGTTGCACTCCACCTACATTCATCCTTGGCCACTTGTACTCTCCATCAAGTCCATTTAAAATGACAAACACCATTTACCCAAGACCGCTACAACTTTACCCTTAATGCCCCATTTACAAGTTAACAAATTCAGTTTCTCCTGCTATTACTGTAATGCTGATGGCCCCATTAGTGTGAGACATCTGCAGCGAAATCTTTCCTTGGATTTCACTTGGAACAAAACAGAAGGTCATGCTCTCTGAGCAACTTGGCATTTAGGTTATGTTCATAATGAAGCCTGTTCTAAAGTTAAAGGTCACTGCCAACTCTAGTTTAGATTCATATAGTTAGCATATTTCCAGTGTACAGTGGAATCAGTCAGTAGTAAGTCTGTGCTTCTATGTTCTTAGACCTAGACCTAAACTTTCATTGAATGTTTTTTGCAGACTTGGGGGCAGCACAGCTGTATCCACAACACTAAGTATTACCATCTTACACAGTTTATATAGCTAATTTGTCAGCAAGTTGTTGCCTAATCACACATCCAGCACATGTGCAGCAACACTGGAGTTGTGCTTTTGGCCTCCTGGCAAATTTAAGTCCAATTTTCACTCCTCTTTTAGCTCTGTTTTGCTCTCCCTCAACTCCTGAGAGATATGTCTGGCTCATAAGCCGTTACATGTTCACCAGGTAGTCAGTGCTGTGCAGGTACGGTAGTTTACAGTTGGTTTATCAGAGCCTGTCGCTGAAAACTGCTGATGCTAGATCCAGAGACAAGGTTGAATAGAGTGGTGAAAGTGAACCGAAACAGTAAAGTTAAAGCCAAACAATGAACTGAAATATTGCTAAAATGCTGTGTGGAGACGAGGCGAGTTGGAGAGTTTGGTGATAATCTGTGGGTTTGCCACCAACAAGTAAACTGCTTTTACATTATCCAGTTCATCAATTGTTAATGTAGATATATCGATTACAGCGGCTTTAAGCTAAGTCAGGGTTTCACTTACCACAGCTTAAACACAACAAAAAGGAAAAAGACCTGTTGTTGAACTTCTACTTGTTGGCTCTGGACAGCAGAGTACCACAATAGCCTTGCAACTACAAAACTCAATTGGGAAATTGTCATTTCTGCTGCACTAAATCAAGGAGACAGTGTCTAATTTTCTGCACTGGTTGTCAGTTGTTGAACATGAATTTCATTTGGTCTGTGAACCTCAAATCAAAACAATCTTCTCAGCCACTGCGCCATTTCAGTCAGTAACAGTATATGCAGTGATGATTAAACCTGTCACTCCCTACAAGCTGTATATTTTAAAGCATGACAATGAAAGCACACAGAGTCACGATGACAGACCTCCACCCCTGAGGAAACCTAGTATCAGAGTCTGCAGGTGGAAGAGACTCGATGACATACAGCAACAATACTGCTACAGCTGTGATAGAAGTGCAGTTTATCATAGAGGGAGTGGGAATGGAAAATGGCCCAAACGAAGTGTGTTGATAATATCTATGGGGATCTGTGCTGGAAACAAGCTGTGGCTCATAATCCACTGCAGTGCTGTTGGTAGATGGCTGTGGGTTTTAAAGTGAAGCAAATTAAAGAGAGGGAACTCTTCTTCTCTCTGCATCTTCTCATTTTCTCGACCATATGTTTCGAATTTCTAAACCAGTTAGTTCCTTACAATGCGAGGAGCAGCCAGCTGGCCAAGGGACCACTCATCTCAATCAGTGGCACAAAACTTTCCACACTAAAACACAGCTACTTACGAGCAGACACACATGGGTCTGGATGTGTGATGGAGCAAATAGTATAAACACACACCTCTTTGTCGCCCTCTTCCTCGCCTCCCTCCTCCAGAGTGAGAGCAGCCAGCTGATTGGCTCTCTGCTCCATCAGGTTGACATAGCGGATGGGATTAGACAAGGCTTCTATGACATCTGAGGAACAGGGAGAAAACAGAGCAGTAACAATGAAGGTAACTTTGAACTTGCAGTGTTTAGTTTTTGGTTTCTATATGTTCATCTCACTTACCTGCAAATGTGTCTGGGACGTAGTCCTTTACTTCTACATACACAAACAGAGCAGGCAGCGTCAGAGACTGGTTCTTCTCATTCCGTAGGCTGATGTAGTGATAACCTGCAAAGTTGGAGTAATATATGAAAACATAGCTTATGTTGAACTACAGTTTATGTAAACATTTCATCCTCAGGTTAATAATTTACAGAAATTATACATATACCGTAATTGTTTCTATTATCACATCTTCATGTTCTTGAATACATATTTTAGAGGTTTAAATGCAAATATACCCCTACTTCTCCATATTTCCTTCGCATTTTTAAAAAATGACAGTAGATAAAGATGGAGGGAGAGTCAAAACAAAACACACCTGGACGGATGGCTGATACAGGAATGATACGGTGGCCGATGAACTTCCCTCCTTCTTCAAACACAGCTATCCTTATTGAAGCAAGTGTTGGCAGGACAACCTGAGGAAATGTATAAAATACACCTATGTCATTCATTCTTCTGAGACCAAGTGAAAACAAGTTATCAACACTAAAATGCACAACTTGAGTCAAAATGGCACCACCAAGTGACTAATACTTTCATTTTTCAACAAATTTATCATTTATCATTTTATATTCCGTACGTTTCTCAAACATTAGCTGTTGTCTTGTACACACACACCCATATATATATATATATACACATTCCCATAAATATGTGTATATCCCAAAGCATTAAACTACATGTGCATGTTCAGTAATGACATTAAATTCATAGAATTCTTTATTGAAACAGTCTCATTCTCAATCTTTGTATTTGTATCCACCTGTACATTTATTTTCTGCACTGTGTAATGGCAAACTGAAAGCTATATGTATATATATATATGTATATATGTCACAATACTTGGCCAGCAAAGTTGACTGAACCTTAATTTCCATCAGTGTCAATTGTTAAATAAAAATGTGACCACATCGTCTCACCTTCTTGAAGACAATGGCCTCTTCTTCCCAGACAGGGTTGATGGCGTTGCCCTGAGAAGTCTTGGTCTTGAAAGCTTTCCTCTTGGTGTCCACTGGTAAGCCAAACATGTCGATCTCCACGTACGTGCCTACTTTCTTATCTGACAGGAACTGGCCTGAGATGATCTGGAAGGAAGGAATGGGAAAGAAAGCAAGAGGCAAGAGAGAAAGAATAATATAAAAAAATATACTCAAAAAACACAGACAGAGCTACACAAACACAAAACGAGCAGTACAAGCAAACACACACCTTCACAGACAGTGTGTTGGCAACTATCCCATCCACTGTGCTCTCAGTAAAAGGGTCAAAGTGTTTGTCTGGCCGTCTCATAAACTCCGGTTTGAGTCTGTAGCCGCATTTCCCATTGTACTCATACATGCCCAGGTTCAGCTGCATGGACAAATCTGTGGAGTGAAGACAGAGTGACCACAGTTTATTTGCATGTGTCAACAACACTCACAAAAATCAAACATGCAAACTAATAACTATCCCAAAAGTGTGAAGGATTGAAGGATTTACACAACTCAAGAAAAGCAATCTTTCCTCACCAATGGTTTGGAAATTGAGAGCCACCAGCTGACAGCCGGCGTTCCAGAAGAGCTGAGGGTTGTAGTTGGATGAATCCACTCGAGTGCCTTTAGGGTAGATCCTGCTCAGCTGCAGCTTGTTGTATCTGAACAGAGCTGTATTAAGGATGAGGCTGCATGACCTGCATCAGAAAATACAGCTGGTGCTACTGCAGCTACCACCATTTCTGCTACTGTTTACTGCTACTTGTATCACTGCTTCAAAATAAGAATGATTTAAAATCAGTAGTGACCTGCAGGTTATCCTTTTGTTACTTTCACTGAGCAAAATGAGTCACTGAATCAAGGTGACAATAAAGAGTACAGTGATGCTGTGCCTACCATAAGTCATCTCTACAGGGAATAGTAAGGCTGGAAGAACAGAAACTAAACATATACAAACCCAAATCGGATTCAGTGATTGTGAGTGGTATTAAGGAGTGTGGAGCACTGCTTCGGTAAAACTGAGAAGGATACTCCACAAACTCTACAGGAGATTTGGTCAGCTGCTCCAAAGCTTTGGTCTCTACGAAGGATGACATCTGGAAGCTGCGATTGATCTCTGCAGGCAGAGGTGGTTATATATTAATCAGAATGATCTAATGCTCACTGGATAGACTGAAAACTTCAGGGTCTAAATTTTGCTGCTGTAAAAAAACACTTGTTTAAAGCACTTCACCTGAGCTGATGTACAGAGTTTAATCCGATGCTTTGAGGCATTAGTGAGCACTGTATTCAGGGTTCATTTTGTAAGCAAATATCTTAAGATGGCTTATGTCTTTACAAACAAATTAATATCTGCTCAATCATTTTTATCAGATGAAGGTTGTTTTCAAATGATGGGTATCTCGTTGAATTATACGTACAGTAAACGTTCACTGTTCTTACGTACTTTTGGAAGCCTCGAAGCTGTTAAACTTGACTGGTTGGATGTAGATGACCAGGTTGGACATTTCCTCTGTGGCGAACGCCTCGCTGCCTGCCGTACCCTGTACATGAAAACAGACACACACACAAACATACGTCTAAACGCAATGCAGCACAGTGTTTTAACAAAAGGTCCGTTACGATCCTTGAAAACAATGAGGGGCTTTGAAGACTCGAGTAGGAATAAAGTGCATTATCAAATATGTACACTAGACGGCAGCGTTAGTACATGACATGCACATACAGTAGTACACTGGGCTGTAAATCTCCAACATTACTAGTATTTGAACTGACCGCTAAGATACACACCTCATCCATTGAGCCCTTTTTACAGTCATCATCATCATCGTCTTCATCTTCGCTTTCTGCCTCCACCTCACCTGAAACACGAGTCCAAGATTTGACCACAGATAATAGCAATAAATAAAGCTAAGTGAGCCAAAGTTAAATGTGTGTACATTTAATTGACATTTCCACAAATTCAATGCAAAATATTCAAAGCTAATAGCCCTTTGAACCAGTCTTTGTCTAGGATCGGTCGCCTCCATTGTGTTTAAAGCAGAGACACAAACAAGCCTTACACTGACAGCTGAATGCACACAGCTCATCCACTGAGGAAATTCATTTTAATATTGTTTTGGTGGAGCTGACACAGCCTCTGCGCCCACATAATGAGAGATCCACTAAAGATTTCTCACTCTGAGGTCACACTGACTGAGGAAATTAATTTTAACATCGTAATGGTCGTACTGACCTATAGCTTCTGCGCCAGCCTAATGAGAGCTCTGGTAAAGATTTGCCTCTGAGTCTAAGGTCATGTACTATGTGTGACTCACCGATAGACTTTCTGCCCTGTGGCCTCAGGCTGAGCTCAGCGCCCTCAGAGGGCTGTGAGGAATCTGCCATCTCCTCTTTGGTTGAACCTGCGCAGAAACAACAAACTCATCAGCAACAAACCCCCATCCGACAATAACACAAGGTCAAACTACTGTATAAGCATGATAAGGCTTCATTTGAAGTGTTGATAATGTAATGTTTAGTCTACCGTTGTACAGTACAGTATGTCATTATTAACTTTTCAGTATTTGTGCAGCACTTTCAAATTGTACAAAGTACTTTATAACCAGGTAATATCGGACGATAAACAACAACAAAGAGCTTTGTGCTGCTTTAAAGAGCAGCACAAAGCCGCACTGATCCAAGGGTGTCATTTCTGCCGGAGATGGGGTGTGCATGTCTTCCTGACTTTTCAAATTGCTATTTTTGTCTCCCTCACGTCTACAGTTTCAGTTTGATATTCATACTGAAATCTCTCTAAATAGTATCCTCTTACTGTTCAACCTCAAAATCTAGATGAGATGGAGCAATAAGAAGTTTTTGCGAGCGGCAGTAAGATCAGTTTGTATTTTCAGAGCTTTCAGGCCACATAGAGGCTGCCCGAGACTTCTGATCAGCTGAACATGTTGAACTTGTGCACAGCCTGACAGGAATCTTAGGGCAGACACTTAGGACTGCAAAAACCACTCACCCTCCTCTTACCTTGTTTAGGCAGGGAGAAAAGAAATTTATATTCCGATTTACTGGTGACAATGTACAATTGTATTTTAATTAAAGGATGTTATGATTGTATGGCAATCCTGATATTGTTTTTACATTTAATTTTCTTGATATGAGGTTTGAGATGTAAACACAGTGTTGTCTCACATCTCTCAGATATCATTTTCCTGTTTATTGCATTACTAATGCAGAAATTTAGGCCACATTTATTGTCTAATTGTCTTGTGGAGGATGAGTTCCTGTATAATGTTATGTTTGCTAGGTTGATATAACTGCATGTAAACAGATGGTTTTTTAGGCTGTTTGAAGAGCTGGGGAGTCACAGTGCCCTTTCCACCTCTGAAATAAAAGCTACACCCTTACACTGATCAGTGATTGTCTCATAATGTGTCACCACAGAGGAACCAGCTCTAATTCTTAGTGCACACCAGTTTACTTCTTGACTGTTATGCAACAGTCAAACACTTGTGTTGCTTATTTTCTTCCAGCGGGGGGCAGTGTGTGTTAGTGTAAGAATGATGCATGCAGCTCGGCAGTCAAAGAAAACTGAGGATGATTGATTGCAAGGTTTATTATAATTTACAGATAAATTATGTACTGAACATATGAAAAATGAGTGGGGTGGGGGTAAAACAAGAAGAGAAAACACACACACACACACACACACACACACACACACACACACGCACGCACATGTAAATGACACATCTGAAGTGTAACCAACTTCAGTGCTAAATGATTAGGGAAATTTCAAACCAGAGAGCAGCTGTGAAAATATGTAAAATCCATAAATGAGATATATATATATATATATGTATATGTTCACCACAGTTATAGTCTAATGTATACACAGCTGCATGAACACACACCAACACACTGAAGGCCACTACTAACCAGTGTTTAAGACGCCCTAGTGACTAGCAGTGTATATGCCTGACAGGGAGTGTGTCCAACAGCCAATAATACCTTCAGCTGATGGAGAGGGCCATGAAAATGATAAATGATAAACAATAGCACTGTATCGCTCCAGTGATTCAGTTTCTGGACGGCACAGAGGTGTCGAGCCACAGCACAGATGGGCCCAGACGGTTAGACTACATTTAACTTCTGAAACACCATAACTCAGCTGTCCCAGTGTGACTTGACGGCTCTGGTAGTGGGATGTGAGTGTGTGTGCTTGTGTGTTTAAAGTGAGCGCTGTACCTGCACTAGGGGAGGAGGGCTCACACACACTGGAAGAATCGCTGTAGGTGTTAGAAACCTGCTCGGACAGTTTCTTCTTGGTGCTTCCGTCTGTCTTGTGGTGTTTCTTCTTGTTCTTCACTAAGATTTTCCCCATCAGCTCCATTGGGCTGGGCAGTGGCACACTAGACTCCAGCTGGATGTTGAAAGAGATGGAGACAGGGAGGTCATGAAAATCACAGGGAGGTCATGTAAATGAAGAAAGAGAGGCACACAAGAAGTCAGCGAAAGTTGTCAGCAGAATAATGTCATTTCCTGTTGTATGATTGTAAAATCTGTTAGAGGAGTGAACGATGTGGACTGCCTTTTGTGACAGGAAATAGTTTCAGTAAAAGAGAAATACAAAAATTATGGTTGTAAAGTTCCAACGTATTGATTTATGGATAGAGAACACTCCATTACAGCCGTATCTTACGACCGCTTGGAGACAAATTAGTTAATTACAGGAAGAAACTGCCAAAGTTGTTTACTGGAGTGAGTCATTTAACATGTAAATTCATGGGAGTTTAAAAAAAAAAAAATTAATTCTGATCAAAATTCACTTTGGAAGATTCTGCTGAGTAGAGCTTGTTAGTGACCGCGAGGATCGGCACTGAGCATTACAAAGTCTGTTGATGTAACAACTCAAAAGTTTACACTTTCAACACTAAAAGAAGCTTCCAGTGGGGAAACTGAGCATTAAACACAAACACACACCCTCTCAAGGGAGCTGACTGGAAGTAGGCAGATCTCTTTATTTATTTATGGGGTACACTGCTTTTGGATCACAGTGTTTAGGGATATTAATAATGTATTATTGAGAATTTCAGCAGCAATGTTGAATACACACACAACCATGGTCTGTATAACTTATCAGCTATAAACACAACCAAACTTAAAAAATGTTTCTTATTTTTACTTTACTTCTTTCAAGAGCAAGAAAACAGTGATTCATACAAACTTAAGCCAAAATTTTCCATCCAATAACCTACTTTCCCAACTGCCGCCCACATCCATCTACACCTTTCTACTGCTGTTGTTGGGAAATGATAAAAATAAAGATTAGACGTCCTGTTTGCCTTGGCTTCCCTCAGACAGTTCCAGTCAAATGGAACCAGTTCAGCATCGGATGTGGCACATAACCTTGACTCTACTCAAATGCACTGCACTAAAACAGTTTGAACCACAATTTACTTGGATGAATTCAATTTGCCCCACATCCACAAACTTTTTATTGTCTCCATTGTAATAAGGGAGTGAAGAGGGAAACAATATGAGGAAGAGGAAAAAAACTTTCTCTCACACTTGCACAAGTTCACAAGTTTCTAGAAATAGTTCCACTACTTCCATTACTTTCAGGGTCTGATGTCTGACCAGTGGTGAAATGAATGTGAAACTAAAAACTACTGAAGTACTGTAGTGAAGTAGAATTTACAGGTACTTGTACTTGACTTAGTATTTCCATTTTGTTCTATACGTCTACTCCACTATATGTCGGAGTGAAATGTAATTAGAAAGTAATGTTTAATAAACTACATTTATTTTACAGCTTTAGTTATTAGTTACACTGTATATTAGGATTTTACAATAATAATCAACTTAACATGAACATGGTGCATTGGTATGGGTTAAACTACCGGTGTGTAAAGTAGTTAAAACTACAACAGTAAGATGCTGCTAAGACATTAATACATCAGTGATAACGAATGATTAATAAAATACACAATAATTAGCACAGGCATCATTTCTGCAAAATTAATACTTTTACTTTCTATTTCTCTATTTTGCAATTTTGAATGCAGGACTTTTACTTGTAAAGGAGCATTTTTACACTCAGGTGTTTACTCCTTCACTAAGCAGTAAGTAAAGCATCTGAATCCTTCCTCCAAATCCAACTATATGTTTCAGGTGCAACCTCTGACTGTCTCTGGCCTGATTCAGGTTATTGAACTACAACCTGAAAAACTGCAAAATTCTTTGATGTCAAACCCATTTTTAGAAAAGGAGATGTGGACCTTCACTTCAGTTTTCAAAGTGTTTATTCTGAACTGTCAGTAACGGCTCAACTAAATCGAAAATACACCCATCAGCCACAGATTAGGATGGATGCTGCATGGCTGGAATTACATGCAAGGACAGTGATAGATGGGAATGACTGTGAAGTATTTGAGAAAAAAGGTGTATATGTTGTTATGAATGCTTTTGTTAGCTCCAACATCTTACACTTGCTACTCTGCTCACATTATTCACCAGCGTGTGAGTGCACTTCACCTTCCCAATTCGGGTCTGTCTCACCCTCAACAACTCTGAACAAACTGTAACAAAAACAGTTTTTATTCTCAACATATTTCATATTTTGTCAGCATTTATAATGAAAATGTTTTGGCAATAAGTCTTGATCAGTATAATGAATGCAATGATGAGAGCCATATAACAAACAAGAAAACATGTTCATGGCGAATCCAATTTTTAGGTAATTTCAGCTAATTTTTTTTTGGATAGAGCAGACTGTTCTCAGACTGATTGAAAAAAGAACCCCTGTCACCACTCTCTCCTATTCAACACCAATGACAGTTTTGTGGAGTGGAGATACAGGAAGTGCTTGAGTTTCTAAGAAAGCTGTAATCCTCTTTATTCTCACCCTAGGCTCAGCTGGAACCAATCAAGCTATATTACCCTATCTGCCCCTGACCCTATGGACTTATGGAGCTGATATCCCATTCGATACGCTGTATACACAATGCCAGAGGGGAGTGGTTGTCATTGCAATCACCTTTCCCAGTTATTACATGCTCAGTGGTAGAAATCTGATTCCTCAGTGGCACTTTCTCTTTCTGTCTCTCTCTCCCTGACTTCTCACTTCTCTCCTTGTATCTCTCTCCTTCTCCTTCCCTCTACCCCTCCATTCGAAGGGTTTCTCCCTGATAATACTTCAATGTCAAATCTAGTCAGAAGGCTGTAATTCTCAGCGGGCTGTGTCTTTGGCAGGCGGCGGTGCTGGAGGAGCTCCCTGCGTGTGCAAGATAATGCTGCATCTGACTGCTTGGGAACTTTAGCTGCCCTTTAGTGTTATACCAACAGAGGCAAGTCATCCCCGGTGAATAACACAAGAGGAGTAAGTGGTATGTTTAAGTACATGTGTGTGCAGGATTGCATGTGCACCAGACACCATGAGGTGTCTGTGTGAGAGATTGTGCGACAAGTGACTCCATTTGTCGCACGTAAGTGCCTGCGTCATTACACACAAAGACGCCTTTGGGATAAAAAAAAAAAGAGTTTGGCCACAAAGGGACAAAGCAAGCTTTTGACTGGTAGCTATGGCAACAGAGGAGAGACAGATAAAAGGCTGCCAAGAAAAGCCACGTTTAGATTACAACGTAAAACACTTCCATTTAATCTTACACGGTTGTCATTTGCAGTCTCTCCCATGGTAACAGAGAGGTGAAATAAAAAATGAGTGTTGGATGAATCATTAAAAGTTGACTTCCGTGGCACATAGACGGCCACAGGTATGTGTGCGTCTGTGATTGAAAACAAGAATGAAAACCGGAAAGAGGGAGAGCGTGAAAGAGCGAGAGAAAAGTCTAGGAGGCCATTTAGGAGCGGGCCTGGAGTGACAGAAAGAGGAAAAACAGTGACAACACATTTTGCCAGGTGCTGGAGGGCATGTCGATATTTTGCTGGAAGTGAGAAAGACACAAACGGAGAAAAGCAAAAAGATAAATAAACACAGAGAAGTAGTAGTTTAAGTGATCAAATGAATGAATTATATATACAGTATGTGTGTGTACATGTGATTGTGCAGTAAGTCATAGCTTGCTGTCTCCCCAATATATACATGGGTAGTATGCTGGACAGCAGTGTTCAAGGACGCTTCTTTGGTGCACTCATCTGTAGGATAATATGTGATGAATCCCTCACTGCTGGCCATGCAGTATGTATATATGTGTGTGTGTGTGTGTGTGTGTGTGTGTGTGTGTGTGTGTGTGTGTATGATAAAAGCAGCAAAAGAGAGCAATCATGAATGTGTATGTGAGCTCATGCATGTGTGTGTGTGTGTATAAGCATCATATATACTCACAGGATATTTCTCCAGAGGCTCTGTCAGTAATGCGTCTCCAAATATTGACCGGCAGTACTCTGCCATCTTAGCCTGCTGCTTTGGTCTAGGAGTCATTGCACACAAAAACAAACACACACACACACACACACACACACACCATTATGATTTCTGTACAAAATATCAATATACACTGAATATGTATGTTGCTCCTATGAACCCCCTAGGAGCCACTTAAAGCCAAACCCACCAATGAGAACCTTCTCCCTAAATCTGTCCAGACGTTTACACAGATGATCTGAACAAAATGGCTGATTGGGCTTACTGAAAGTAAAGCATCCACTGATGGACAATACTCATCAATAAGGTCAGCAGGCACACTTTAGCCTTTGCACCCTTGACACGAAATTAAATTGTGACTCACGAGTCCACGTGGTTCTCAAAAGACAGGATGATAGGGAAGGGAGAGGTCTTGAAGGCACATTCTGCGATGGCCTCGATCACCTCCTAAAAACAGAAACAGAAAGGAAAAATAAAAACACTTTAACTATAAATTATCTTAAATAAACACACAGGGCAGAAAGTTAAATTAATGAGTAATGTAACGCACATTAAAAACAATTAATGTTGCTGTTGGTTAATGTGGTAATATTCTGTAGAGTCACAAGAAAATAAAACATTTCATAGCACTCCTCAGCTCGTATACCAGCCAGAATAATCTGCATTTACAATGTAATGATTCCCTACATTTCCTGGAGTGCCTGAGAGCCTCCCCCAGAGAACATGCCCAAACCTGGTGAAATCAATAACTGTAGGAGAAAGCAACAGCAACAGTGATGAGATAGGAAGATTCATTACAAATCCAACATGTCCTCTGGCTGCATGGCATTATGGTCGGTTGTGGACACCGGTGGGAAGAATTAGCTTTGTGGCTGTGTGTATAACATGCATTTAAAATCAGTGCAGTGGCTTTCTTCAGTAACACTGTATTGTAGCTGTGCAGGGTGTCAATGTGTTGGTAAATCTTCTTCTGGATAATAACGATAAAGAAAATCCCGTCATTCATGTCCCAAATTTATATACGTCTACATAGAAGCGAGAGCCGAGCCATGAGGTGGTGTCACTGCTCCAGATGGTTGAAAATCTGATATCGGATTTCCAAGCCACCGATGGTTTAAGTCAATTACACCATCATTAACGACGGTGTCAGTTCAGTTAATGCCTTCATTTCCATTTGCTCCATCTCCTACAATAAAAATCTTTGTCTGTAATTCAACCCTTTCCATCTTTCCTCCGTTCTCCGTCTTTCACAACTCTTATATACAACTCTGTATTTCACTCTCAGACTAATTCCATTAGCCTTGTTCTACTTCTTCTGTTACTCTCATTACATATAAATTTCCTCTATCAATCAATCCACCCACCTCTTTCTTCTTTTTTCTCCTCTGCCCTGAGATTTCACACCCTCCTCCCACCATAAAAGCAGTTTTTCTTTTTGTCTTCTCATCTTTGGAGGATTCAATTAAGCGCCCCTCAGCGTTTCTCTTTAGGGCCATTCAGTGCGTCCCTGTCCTTTACTATTTGCTATCTGCTGCATGCATGCCCCACTTTTTGTTTTCCCCACTTCCCCGACTCTGCTTTCCTCCGTACTTACTTTTATCTTCAGTGTCTGGCTCTGTATCTGTGTGCTTCTCTGGTTGTACATTTCATTCCCTGCTGTATAAAATACTATTACAGTTAGAATACTAATCCTTTCATGAAATCACACCCATTCTTATTCTATTTATGGTCAGCATTAATGTATTAACACTGAGTAATTATCTCTCTACACTAGTTTTTGTTGGCAGCGGCAGAGTTTGTCATTCCTGACTGCATTACCTACATGAGCACAAAGGCTTCACAGGAAAAGGATGCATGCACGTAATCCAACCCCATATGATTTTACTGATAACAGCCTGTTATCTGTTTTCTGCTAACTCTGTTTACACAGTGTCAGAGCTGTGTTAAGTCACTGCAAACCAAACATTTCTTACTGTTGCTGCTTCACATTAAAAATGATCAACTGATGAAACATGCGGTAGCTTTGATTGTGATACGGCCACAGGAAATGCAGGAAATGCAGGAAATGCGTTTGTTATCATAGTTACAGCTGTTCACGATTGTCTGCAAAAAAGACATAATCTTTTCTGCATTTTTTCATCAGTGCATCATGTTTGATTTTTGTAAGGAAGCAATAGAGCAAGAGGGAGTAGCCACAGTAAGATGTTAGATGAAGAGCTGCAGGCAACAGGACACAGCACCTCTCCAGCTCCTCTGCATGGTAACCACCTTTACTGGTGTTGTTGTGCGGAAAACGAATTGGGCATGCGCAGCATGAAATCAGTTTGACTTTTTATTAAAAATCAAATGAGTTTTTTGAGGGCTGTACTGTAAAAAGACACACCAGTTGCTCTTATGTTGAATTTCTGACAAAGGTGCTGCTCAAGTGTTTGCTGTAGTATCAAACTACACTTACTAACAGCAGTACAGGTGTCACCAAATCCAACTGGACTGAAATCCTAACAATTATATCTTTAAAGCCACAAACCACACATAGAATCAACCATTTAGAGTATGAAGATGTGACGAAGGCGTACTGTATGCATCTAAACTACTGAACCTGCTCTTTCAATTTTATTGCATGTTTGAAGATGTTCACACAGGTGGCTGTCAACACACCTGCACATACAGTGTGTACTAGGAGGCAAAATCACATTAACCAAATACAATCTACTGGAAATGAAGATGACACCCACAAATGGAAAAATCAAATTTAAACCCCAAAATACTAAACATTAAAGTAACTAACACACATTAGATGTGGGTCTTCGGACCAACCCAAATACCAATCGATGTTTGATGCAGTGAGTGGATCATGTGCACAGCATGTGGATTACATTATCTGTCCTGGAGGACTGTTTACCCAGAACCCCCCACCCCCCACCCCCCACCCCGTGTCTGTAGACAAAGGCATTACAATGCATCTTCAGGGGAGAATGTTTCAGCCTGTGCTCCCTCTTCCTCTGCCCCCCACTCCCCAACCCAACCCCTCGCCTACATCGCTACCACTCTGCTCTCCTTGTGTTACCTTGAAGGAGATTTCAGTTGTCATGGTGAAGCCGTGAGTGATGACGGGCTCTTCTTCTGTGGTGCGACCCTTCCAGCAGTCCAGTTCGATGCAGCGGCACCCTGACAGGAGAACCTGCTTGTACATCTCAACTGAAGAGTTCCCTGCAAGCTGGCCAGCTGCACCCCACACACACACACACACACACACACACACACACATGAACACAAACACCACTTCAGGTGATTGTTATATTGATCTACCAGGGTGCCTACAAAAGCATGCCCCCCCCCACCATTCAAGCTCTCATTAACCACATTAGTTACTAGCATGTAGTAAAAACAATTCAGCTGTTGTTATCTGTAGCAGCCAAATCTCATCACCCTGTCACCATTAGCGAAGCAATTATCTCTTCACATTAGCAGCACGCTTTCCTGCAACATGCGGGGAACTGTGTCAAAGTGAGATGACTCATTTCCTGACTTTTTTTCATTCCTTTTCTCATTTTGCCTCTCACTCTTTTTTGTCTTCATGTAATAGACATCCCTATCCAAACCCATTAGTGAGAGACTTGCTTTACTAAATTTGTTCCTGTGTTGTACACTGCACGAAATATTGCTTTAAATTAGCACACATCAATAGGATGGAAATACATCAACATGAATGAGTGAGTTGCACAAGATCTTGTCGGTTCAATTATCATGTGTGGCTCTTTCTTGTAAAGTTCTTAATCATAAATACTGCCAGGAAAGAATCACATTCTGCAATTCCACACATTTCTCTTTTCTATCATAAAATCACAATGTGTCACCATGAAAATAGTTAAAGAAAAACAGTGTGCGTGTGTGTGTGTGTGTGTGTGTGTGTGTGTGTGTGTGTGTGTGTGTGTGTGTGTGTGTGTGTGAGGGGAAACGGAAGAATCCATTGTTTGTTTTTCTCATTTCTTCATTTTGCAGGCTATGAGGCCGGTCTATTACAGAAATTCCATTTTTTACATCGCTGGAGAAATTTGATCCACTTGAAAGATTCAATGCTCTCCAGTTCCCCCCAGAATAGATTTGAATAGATGAATTCTAATATCCATTGAAGAGAAAATGGCCTCTGTATTGTGCCTGCTATGCTTGCGCACTGCCGGGAGCCAGTTACTGTGACTACCAGTCTAAAGAAATATTTAACTCATGAATATCAATGAATTGCGTCTCATGGCATGACTTGATTGGATAACCTCTTGAGAGGTAACACAGGAAAGGGGGCCTGATAAGCATCGGTGCATTTGATTGACTGACCTGCGAGGTATAAAGTGGGTGTATTCACTTGTGCAGCCATAATTGTAATTCTAAATGAACGAGTGATCTGCTCATACGTAGAAGAATAAAGGATGCGTGCATGCAATCAGTCAGGAGTAAAATCGAGTTGAGTGTGCAAACCAGACAGAGAGAGAGAGAGAAAGAGAGAGAGAGAGAGAGAGAGAGAGAGAGAGAGAAAGAGAGAGACAGAGCTGCATACATACACAACAGCTTTTTGACTTGTGTCTGGATGTATGCGTGTGTACCTGTGAGGTATGTGTTGTGTGAGGAGTTGATGAAATAGTGGGAGAGGGGAAGGGTCATGTCTTCACTCTGGTCCAACTTCTCAGGGGGAATGATTGTGTTCTCCTCCCCATTCAGATACCTGGCAAAGCCTTCCACCGAGATCTGACCTGCATGAACGCCACAGAGAACACAGACATAGTCAAGACGAGTCAAGTTTGAAACCATGTTTTGTTTGGTTTTTTTTGGTCCAGACACAAACTTGAACTTTCAATCCTGTGCCGAAGGACTTACAGGATAAATCTGGTGATGTATCTGGATGGTTGGCACAGAGCTGTGCCGCGGAGCTGCACACATCAAAGTTCCACACTGTTGCACTGGGCGGCAGGTTCATTCAGTACAATGAACATGAGCATTGTTCATTGTTTAATTTGAGTTCAGCCCACATCCAACATGCTGCTATAAATACTCACTAGCATGTATTAATGTATGTGTGTTAATCTGCTGCTAGAAATAGTCTCTAACGGATGCACGGTTTACTCTTGTTTCAGTAGTGTTTGCTGAGCACTACAGTTCCACAAAAGTAATTAATTTACTTTAAAAATTATTTGTTTGTTTTGTTTGAATTTGTGGCCTTTTTTTTTTTTAATTAAGATTTACATCGTCCGTAGATACAAATGTACTTGGCGCTGAGTTCACAGACTGGGTTGGGAAGTTGTAAAAAAGATTGTTGGTTTTGATCTTTTCATAGGATTTGTTGACGATAACAAACAACAAACAATATTGCCAACCTTATCCTTGAAACGAATGAAACACAACATGGTACATGGCATATGGTGGTACACGACTATGTGCCACTTTACAAACACAGATCCTCACTTTTCTTCCCTTTAGGGTTAGGGGTAGTGTAAATGTTAGGGTATGAAATATTTAACATGAATAACAGATTGAAAAGAGTAAATGTAAAGTATGCTTGGGTGTTTGTGTGTACACCATACTGTGTACACATAGTGCAGGTGCATTCAAATAAGCAGCTGGAAGACTGTGTTCAAATGCTTTCAAAGGCTACATTACAAAAATGCTCATAATCACTAATTAAAGCGACACCGAGATTACATAAGTAGTTTAATTTAGCCGGAAGCTTAAGTCACCATTTGCTGAAAGCTTTTGTGGTTAATCCTTAAAGCCTGTACCTCAGTGTTTCTGTTTCTTACATTGTAGGTGTATACTGAAAGTTATTAGCCTTCATTACAAACACTCCAAGTTCCAATGTTTCACAAGGCAGGTTACAATACAAATTTCTTTTTCTACATTTCAGACTTCACTTATTCCACTGGCATTGTAGATACTCATATGATGTCATACCGTCATCTGAAAGAGCTGAACTGCCCTTGACATGGTTATTTCCTTATTTTTTACTGTTTGTCAAGGTCAGCCATGTTAAGCTTTGCCTTTTTGCTGCCATCACTGAGCTCGTGCCCTCACTGAATGTGCTCGAGAAAGGGAACAACACTGAATAAATGAGTAATAAGCCCCAGATGGAAAGTGCACATCGCCAACCATCCAGGTACAAGATTAAAATTTCCATACACATTGCCATGCGCATCATAACCACACCTGCATGGGTTATATTTTGTAGAACATATAGCAGGTGTTCAAAGCAAAACCGAAAACACTCCTCCACCCAAATACACACACACTCACTTGACGTTATGCTAAATATGCTAAGTGATGCGAGCTCGACGGGTGCAGCAGGTCCCTCCGGCCACTTTATGCTAATTAATGCGGTGCCTCCCTCTGCAGAGTTGCTGGACTAATTAACGCTGGCTGCTGTCTGTGACATCTGAGCTCAGTCGCACTGAGCGTCGTACTCCCTGCTGACTACCAGGACCTCCCTTTGCCAGGCTGAGCCCTAACCTCTGTATCACACACAATCACACAAATATAGACACAGAGTTTCCCTAGATCCCAAGACATTCGTAGGTCAGACAGGGAAAAATGGTGTTAACATGTCTGGGAACAGAGGTGTACTTGAGTGAGAATCTACAGGTGTTTTTCTAAAGGTGAGATTTGAAAGGTGAAGTTAGTTCTAAAGGAAGAGAGTATGAAAGAATACATTCAAGTCAAATAAAAAACTCTTTAAAAACTTCGGCAATAAGGACTCTGTTGAGCTGAGGGGAAACTGCAGTTGAAATATATTCTGACTTTAATGATGAATTGCAAGACAAGAGTGGACACAAACAAATAACAAACAAAATCTGACAGAGTTCCCTCTCTACAGCCACTGAAGATGAATGTGCGATCATATGCCACCATCCACTCTGGATGTAAGACACTTTAAGTGTCTTATTTCATTTAGCATTTTATTCATCTGCCTTCAGACAATGTCTGAACGCTTGACTGAGCACAGACTAAAGAAGCCAAAGACAATGATAGAGCACTGAGGAGATTAATGACAGGTATAATATTCACAAAATCCAAGCTGGAAAACAGATAAAGAAGAAAGAGAGAGTTCAACAAAGCGAGTGAGTAGAAATCCTTAATCATACCTTCTTTGGGGCAAACCTAAGGCATTTGATCCATCTGCAATGAAGGCGTATGCATCAATGCATGCCTGCTGTATATTCCTGTGTTCCACATAATGCTTTTGCAGGACAATGCACATTATATTATATACCCATGATATAAATTACATGTCTGAATATATATATATATGAGTGTCCTTGAGAAAGGAAAAAGAGTGTGTATGTGTATCTGAATGTGTGTGTGAAGGTAGCATGTGGAGCTCTGGACCCCTCTGCAGAGCAGATGGCAGCACTTCCTCCGGCTAGATAAATACTTCACACAGGGAAATCTGTCACTGGGACAGAGAAGGGCATGCTTCCAGAGAGCCTGGGACAGGATGAACACACAACATCACAGTAAGAGCACACCACTGTGATCAGCGCCAAACACTAGGGGGTCAAATGGTATATCTCAATGTGGTTTAAAAAATAATTTCAACTTATTTAGGTACCTGTGATTCCTTTAATCAAGTAGGTACTTTATTAAGAGGCAATTATTAAAGGAGCTATTTGTAAGTTTTGCTATTGCTACATAGCCAATTCAACAAACAAGCTCAGCATCAAACTTCATTCCTTTCCTCACCAAGAGCTGTCTCCAGAGGTGGAAAGCAACTGCTTTGTTTTGATCCTATTTTTATCACTTCTTTTCTTGTACTGAAGTTAGCATGCTGACCAGCTAGCTCTGGGTCAGCCGGCCTGTCTCATCACTGTCAAATACAGTGTCACTGTAGACATGTTTCCCTGAGGAAGTAGCACTGCTCAGAGGACATAATATAACCTCTTGTCTTATAAATGCAACAATGGCTGAAGCTCTTGGCAAGACAGGTAAGTAAACAGTTATTAATGCTAACGCTTGCTATGTAACTTGCAAAAACAAATAGCTCCTTTAAAGTGGCACCAATGCTCTTTTTGAGTTAGGGTCAATTTAATTTCAGTGTAACCTATAATAAAATGTGCAAATGTGATTGGCATAATGATGATAAACTGAACAGGTTTTTAGAGAAACAGCCTCTTCTGGCACCAAAGATTAGAATTTTTTAATTTTAAACATTTAATAATAGCTTCCACACTAAATAGTTTGTTCTCAAAATATTCATAAATATATTCAGCCATGTGCTAAACTTCAGATCTATGGCATAGTACAAAGGTTTTTGATGAAAGGCCCTTTGCACATATGTAATCGGATGATTTGTTGTTCTATGAAGATTGCTGCTTGGGAAACACACCCAAGGTACTAACAGATGTAGTATTGCTTATGAAGGTGTAGACCTACAGTATGTCACGTAATCTGTATGCCCCATTTGTTTATATGTTCATGCACATTTATTATCTTTTATAATATATATATATAATATATATATATTATATATATATATATATATACACACACACACATACATGTACGCATACATATATATCTATATCTATATAGATGTATTATATAGATATATATGTATGTATGTATATGTATATATATTTATATATAATATACTAGGGGAAAAAAATCAACCCTGTGATTTGATTGATATTAAACATCATTCTGTGTAAAGTAAGTCACCCAGCACACGTGTACACACTTTCGAACAGAGATTAAATTTGAATTGGCACATACCCGACCTTGATGCCTGATATCTGCAGTGGGATGTTCTGTGTTTTGGCAGCTCTGACCACTGGCACTTCAGACAACATGGAAGCACAACAAGTCCTGGAGTGTTGGACCCCTACTGCTCATCCATCTTGGTCGTTCATTAAATATTCTGTGGCAGTCCTGATGCTCTAATACTACCACTAAAACTGCTTCTTTATTTGCTTTTACACACGTTTAGTTTTGTGATGTTGATGTTGATTTTTATATTTATGCCTCCACATCGGTCACAACCGTGGCTGGAGACATTAAGTTTTCAGGTTGTCCGTCCATCCGTCCGTCCCATTCTCATGAATGTGATATCTCAGTATCGCCCTAATGGAATTTCTTCAAATCCTGCATAGACGTTCGCTTGTACTCGAAGAAGAACTGATTAGATTTTGGTGGTAAAAGGTCAAAGGTCACTGACCTCATCAAGATTTCACACGCTAATTAACTGAAATTGGACAGGTTGGTGGAGATATACAACTGTGATGCGGTAATTTTAGTTATTCATGTTGTTCATTTGGATACTAAGTTTTAACAGGTAGATTAATGGTTTCATCAGGTACTAATGACTGCCACCTACCTACAGTATAATACAGCCTCCATGACATGTGCACTTGAAAAAACACTAGCAGGTTCAAATAAACATGCCCACCACTTGGACAGCAGAAATGTCACATTAAGCAAATTCAGACAAGCATTTAACAATCTGACAAATATATTGAGTATATGGAAAGGACTCCAATGTCAGCCAATACAGAAACAATACAAGTTGCCAAACTACTACTAGTTGCCAGGCAAATGCTCCCATCCAAGAAATAGTCTGGCACATACACCTGTTCATACATTGTTGTTATTAGCTGGATTTCTTTCCTCTGGCTTCATGTTTCCCTCTGTTTCTAGTTTCTGTGCTGAGCTAAACTAAGCTGCTGCAGGCCCTAGCTGATATCAGATAAACAGATAAGAGAGTGATATCAAACTTCTCTGACAGGCCACCAGGAAGTATAATAAGCTTTATTTCCCAATATAACAAACTATGCCTTTAAGTTGCAGCGGACTGAGCTCTCTCAGCTGCTATACCCACACTTATACAGGATTATTGTCATCTTCCACTAATGAAATCAGTGGTGGTGTGCACATTGCATGGATCAGTTATGGTACTTTTCTTCATTTTTAGAAATGGATTTACAGGAAGTGACAAAAGGAAGATTTGTAAAGCACAATAAGAAGAACAGATGTCATAAAATACTATGGCTTAAAGAGAAAGTTTATGTCTTCATGTTTATGTCAAAAAGTGTTTGTGTGCATCAAAGCACAATGTTGAAGTGCTACTCTGCTGCACTCCACTTGCCACTTGCTATTCGTTCAAGCTCTCCTGAAGCACAAACACATACCAGCAACTCCCCTCTCTCTGTCTTTTCACTCTTTCTCTTTCACATACCTTCTCTCTCTACTCAAGGATTCTACTCATGCAATCCTATTCTTGTGTGTGTGTGCGTGTGTGTGCATGTGTGTGTGAGTGTGTGTGTGTGTGTGTGTTATTTACAGACTTCTAACATTCTGTTCCTTGGCACCCCACCATGTCCCCTCACTTTTTGAGCTTTTGGACACCAGACTGCAGGGTTGTTGCTATGGTAACACCCCTGCCAAATTTATCGGGGGTGAGGGCTGAAATGGAGGGTTGGGGGTGAGTGGAGTCTTAGTAGGGCTGGAAGAGGCCGGGGGCCTTAAACAGTGTAAAACTGTATATCTGGGTTAAATTTCCATCCTTATTTTTTAGTATGAAACAGTTTTCTTACTTCAAAACGCTTGTGCATTAAAAAGAAGCAGCTGAATGTGCGTTTCGTGTGTTTACGTGTACACATAAGCATGTTAGTGTACCTGTGTTTGTACTGACAGACATTTGAGCCACTGACCTTTCTGTGCCAGCGAAGCATTAGGTTCATATTTGTCCACCAGCAGCTGGACCTGTTCTGGTTTGAGAGGAGGGTAGAGAATCTCATTCAGACGAGGGTCTCGCTGTTTACTGTTAATGAACTCTGTCATTTGCTCCACTGTGAGGTATGGACGGCTCTTAGCCCCACTGAGGAGAGGAGAAGAGAAGAGATGAGAGTACTTTGACGAGTGGGAATACAAAAAGGGAACAAATGGAGAAAACATGGGTTGCTAAGTGAGATGTGAGAGCAAGTACAGAATTGAAAAAATAAAGATAGGAGAAAATAAAATGAGGAGAAGATGATGGAGGGGAGGAGTGGTAATTAAAACGGCAAAGAAATGTAGAGAGAGAGAGAGAGCAACAGACGCGCAAAGGAGCTGAGGATAAAATGCTGTGTTGAGTAAATTATGAGATTTGATTAAAACGCCTTTCATATCTCTGCCTGTTCCACTAAATTATCATCTTCATATCCTCCTGCCTCTCATGCCATCTCACTTAACTGTGATTAAAATCTAGATTTATGACTTGGAGTGGCCACAGTCGTGCTGGCATGCTGGCTTAGCTGATGGTCTGAATCCCTCTGGGCCAAGGGGCAATTCTGCTCGTGCAGCATGTGGGGCCACACAGCCATTCTCGAGGAGTCACAACCAGGGTCATTACAACATGCTTTCCTGTACTCATTAAATACTTATGATTACTCCATTGGGCAAAAGCAGGTGTCTTAAACCTGCAAAGCCATATTGCTCAATTAGAACTGCTAGTCTGAAAAGAGCAACAGATGGTTGGAAATAAAATTCAAATTAATCAATCCTCAAATTGTTTCAAACTTTTTTAAACGTACTTGCTTCTAAACTGGGAAATATTTTTTGGATGTTCCAAAGATTTTTATATCCTGGAAAGACTTTGTAAAAGAAAAGTAAGGGAAACACGGTTCTTACACATCAGAGAAGATGTGGTCCAGCTCAGGTCGAGAGCAGATGTTGCTCAGAAACATGTTATACACCTCTGGAGTGAAGTCCTCTTGGGGGATGGAGTCATTCTGCAGAAGACAACAGCAACATGGTCAGATACATCATAGATGCAATACAAATACATGTGGCAGCAGGTGACCTAGCAGTGGGTAGAAACACTGTGGACAAACTACATCTTTACATTTTGTGATTTTATTGTTTAAATTGTTCAACTCTATTTTCAGTGTGATGCACAGGTGCTAAAACTTCAGAACTGTTATGTATAGGCAACTGAAAAGTTTGTTAATTAGCCTCATGCAAGAACATTTTCATATTCTTATTTCACAAAACAGAACTAATAGCTAAAAGGGGGAAAAGAGGAATAATTCTCAATCGGCTAAAAATAAAACAAGACTAAACCAAGTCAAAACCTAGGACATGGTTGGACCGTGTCGTAGGCTATTTGATCACTCAGAGAGAAAGTTAGAAGCTCATTTACGTGAGCTGCTGTGCGGTCAGCATAGAGACGTGTGCCTGCGGAGGGGAGGCCTGACCTTGCTCTCATGTGGCAATACTGGCAACTCTGATCAATGGAAAGTAGCAAAGCTTTGTCCAAAGGGTTGCTAGACTTGTGTCTAGGTGTTTTTAAAAAAAAAAAAAAAAAAAAAAACTGCTAAAATTGTCTAAAAAGTTGTTTAATCAAGCGATGAAGGCGTTAAATTGGCATCACTGCTTGTTCGCACCAAATCATTTTTTGAGAGGGGCAATGACCGATAGTCGGCTGACCAGTGGTGTAACTTCATCGCAAAGTCAGTGAGTGACAGTCGTGTTTATAGGGCTAGCCCCTGCTGTTGCAGGCCAGCCAAAAACTTTCAACACATTGGGGGCTTAGTTCTTGCATGAGGCCCAGTGACCTGTAAAGAAAATGTTATTTCAGGTTGATCCCTTCTTCAGTGTTCTTATTGTTAGACCCACCCAAAACATCTCTGCACAAAAAATAATATTTTCTACTTGAGTCATGTTGTGCAGAGTTTTAAGTTGCCTTCTGTTATACCAAAACACATACTGTATATCCGCTCCACTGGTGTGTCTATAATACAGACACATCTTTCATGCCATGGGATGTTCTATTGCTGACTTGACCTCTCATCTCCTTCTGGAGGTGATTACACATATACATTTCAAATACATATAATTAACAGGGACTGCAATTGCAATTTGAACATAGACTTAAACAAAAAAGCTATGGGCACAAGGGTTCCTTATAGAGCTATCAAAGTTAAACAGCTCTGATAGAAACACAGAGCCCAGCATAGTAGTAAGCAATAGCATTATGCCAGCAAGAAACAGAGCAGAACCAAACCCTCTTAGAAAGACGCAGGAGAAAAGAAGGTCAGGAAGGATGCCCTAAGGGAGGGGGATGCAGGTCAAGCCCCGCCGAAACTCAATGACTCATTCTAAAGAGTTAGTGCGAGCTACGTTGTTCATGCACTTTTGTCTATGAGTGTGTGTTTTTGAGGGATTAACAGGACTACCATTTAGCTGTAATTACTTGCGCATTGGAACAACAGTTAATCCCACCAGGCCTTCATACAGCAACATGTTTTTACCTCCCGCTATCTCTCCCTGTGCTAATTATGTATAACTTGTTCTGAGTGTGTGTGTGTGTGTGTGTGTGTGTGTGTGTGTGTGTGTGTGTGTGTGTGTGTTTGTACTTCTGGATGTGTTCATTCTGTTGTATTCAAAAACCATTCATTATAGCTGCAATGTGTCTGTTCTACTGTATGTGCATATGTTTCAGCGTGTGTTCAGAACTGCATTAAACAGCATATTCCCACTTCCAAAACACGCAAATTGCTTGCTGCTGTTGGAATACAGAGATTGTTTGCTGTGTTAGGGGACTGTTTACACCTTTATGCATGAGGGGGCAGCCTGCCTCTGGTGATATCTCAGAGAGGTAAAGATAAAACAGCTTTTGTCATCTCTATTGCTCCCACTGGGTCTATTTGTTTCATTACAACCAAGGCTAAATCAGTTCTGAGTGGGAAGTCATGCAGACATCTAGAAAATAAGACTCCAAACAAATGAGCAAAGCAGCAATCAGCTGCTGTTTCAGGAGAATAGAGAAGGAGCTCAATGGTGAGAGGACAGACTGATGGATGGATGGATGGATGGACAAGATGAAAGAGCTTGGACGCTTGGAGACAAAGATAAGAGAAACAGATGGAGATAGAGGAGAGACACAAATTGGAGCAGGTTCACAGACAGAGGAAATACAAGTAGATAGCAACATTAAAAAAAAAGGGAGTTTCAGTATTTTGGTGTCTCACTCTGCCAGAAGGGAGGCTACAGTTTTCCAGGGCTGTCTCCACTCGCTTCCTGTCTGACGAGAACATCCTGAAGATACTGTGGGACACACACACATACGCACCCTTATGAGTAATCACAGAAAATGCCACAGACAAAGAGTTTTCACTCTGGTCCTCTGTGTCAAACTGTTGAATTCACCACAGCTTTTAAATGAAGGATATCCTGTGATAAGGAAGGAATGAAAAAAGCACAAACTCAAGGGAGAAATTACAAGCTGAGAGACAGAAATGTGACACAGATCTTGCCTATATGAAAAATTTTAAATATAATGTGTATATATATATATATATATATATAGAGAGAGAGAGAGAGAGAGGTTGTATATTATACAAACTGTTGTAAAAAGGTGTTGATTCAACTTTATGTACATTTTTGAAGGCTGTAGTTTCTGATGCTGTTGAATCATATTATACTGAGAGGTGTTTCTAATATTGTGTACACACACTCTTATAAATAGGTAGCATGAGATAAATGAGTGTATCTCAACAAAGGTGATTCATGTGCACAAATATTCATTGTACTTTTTATCATCAAATATGAATGGTATGTAGAATACAGAATGGGCTGATTTGATTACTGCTGTTCACACACATCTAAACTCCAGACGAGCACCATATGTACATAAAAAGTGATAATGTTTGTAATTCTTTTAAGAAACAATATAACCCCAAACATGTTTATAAAGCTGAGCTCATTTCTTGTTGTCATTATAATTATCATTATCATCATCATTATCATATCACAGTTTCTCAAACAGTACTTGTAATTTACACAAATGCGATCTCAGCAGTTGCAAAACTAATGTTTTCTCTCGTGTGTAAATAAACAAAAGACGTGCAGATTAGATGTTTCCAACTTCACTATACATACAACACAGCTATCATATGGTTGCTGTTCTGTGAAAACCATGCATCTCCAGAGTGACATTTTCACATGGTAAGAAAAACAGCCCTGTTTTGGGGGTTTGTGACACTACATTTTTCAGATAATCCTAGGGGTTTTTTCAATGATTTATTTTTCTTTTGGAGATACATGGTTTCCACTAGGCAGTGCAGAATATGCTATTCTGCCCCATCTGTCATTTTGAGAGTAGAGAGAGACAGTGCTTCTGTGTGGTTGGGCTGCTGTTCTCTGTTTTATTCTAGTGTATATAGACAATAAATGTGATTTACTACAATGAAATCCAGTGTTGTTACAGCTACCGCTGGCTGTTTAGGTCTGTTTCTGCTGGCCATAGCCAGTTTTAATTACATGCAGAGGTATCCATGAGCAGATACTGTATGCTCAGTGGGAGAGCAGAGTCAAGCTGACATTAGTCAAGCTGACATGTCCTCCCAGCTAGGAGGTTAATTCCCTAAACGGCAAGTAGTGTCTCTCTGCCTCTCTGTGCTGACACCCACTGCTTTCCTCTGCGGCTCTGAGGGAGGTTATCGCAGAAGTTCACTGTTGCCCGCCCGAAAGCTCAACTTGACTAATAGAGATGGAGAGAGTTGGATTTTTCAATTAGCTGATGACAAATGTGGAGATAAGTGAAACGGAAACTAAACTCCTCAAAACTGAAAGACGCAAAAGGAAATTCCCACACACTGGCACATTTTGAGCTGAGGGCTTGCCCAGGGAATGCTACTACACACACACACACACACACACACACACACACACACACACACACACACACACACACACACACACACACACACACACACACACACACACACAAACAAACCAATAAGGATGGGCTCTTGAAAAACAGAGGAAAGGACAGCAGCTGACATTATTGAGGAAATTTTACTGCAGGAGTCATGGAAAGAATATAAGAGGGATATTGTGACAACAGAGGGGCGGGGTAACACATTCTCATAAATGCACACATATAAATAGGCAATGTGTGTATTCTGAAGCGTATGCATGCTGAGAGTAACGATAGAAGGCAGAGGAAGCTATGCATTGATCAAAAGAGCAGAGTGGTGGCAGGGGAGAGAAGGATGAATCAGAGAGACTTACTTCTTGACGGGGATTCGCCCCTCAGGGTTGAGCTGCAGCTTCAGCCGAGTGTATCTGCATTGGACAGAGCACAGGCCTTACACAACATGTTATCAGCAGTTTGTCTGTATGGCTAATGCACTTGGTCAAATTTAATTTCTCCGTGTGTTTGCTTGAGTTTACATGTGTGACTGATGTACATAACCATTCGCAATGTCTGTTTATGAGCGAGAGTGCAAATTAATATAAGAGTGCATGCACCGGCGTGGTGAAAGACACACATGTATCAACACAACACCCAGTGACTGACTGCATGTGAAGAGTTTGTGCACACCATGAATATTGGCTTCGTTCACATGACAGGTTAGAATTGTGGCTAATCCCTGGAAGTCTTGCATCGGCAGCACAGAGCCATGCAGCAGCAACTCAGGCAGCGCAGAGGGGGCTATAAATAGCTTGGCTGCAACAGGAGCCATCATTACAGGCTGGGCCTTAAGTAGCTGCTGGCTAATAATTAATATCCATTACAGTGTCCACTTCATAGGGCAGGCCGGCTGCCACAGGCAAAGTCAACGATGACTGTAATGGTTAACTGGGCCAGACTGGGCTTTGAATGAAGCATTTTTTCTCCAAAAAGAGAGGGAAATGTGAGGTGAAAAAACGCCAAGTGTTGGCCGAGAAAGAGCTGGTTGACAACAGCTGATATCGCTGAGGCAACATCAGGGTGACTTTTGAAAAACACAGAGCGAGGGAATGAAGAAGGGTAAAAGAAAAGTAAGGAAGGGAGAAAAGCAGCGGAGTAAGGGAAGAAGGAGGGAACAGTAAGGTGTTTCTTGATGCCCTCATCTGCCTTACAAGTGCCTGCATTATTCATTAAGATGAGTGGGGGAAAACAGATTACTTGCATCTGTCTCCTTTCATGTTTATCTCACTGCTTTCTCTCTCTCTGTCTGTCTCTCTATCTTCCTCCTATCTCTACACTCTCTCTTTAGTTAGATGTAACCATGGATGTCAGTTTCCATTCCACCTGTGGTAATGCAAATACTTATTTCTGCACATCCCCGTTTTTGGCAGGGAATGAAATGCAAAACATGAACAGCAAAACAGTAACTGGCAAATTCCCAGTTTTCTAGCACAGTCAAAAGTCATCCCAGCATATGTGGCGCAATTTTAATCCAAATTGTTGATGCTCACAGAAACATAATCCAAGGAGTATCCTTAGTTCTGATGTATTGATCTCAAAAGAATATCTTGCAGTAAGCAGGCATTTCGAGACACGTTGGGTTCTGATTTTGTTTCCTCTTGCTGGGAATCACTGCTCGTATACGCTGACCCCCAAAAATGTATCGCAGCATTACGAGCTAGCGATGAGGATTAACCACATGCAGAGAAACATCAACATCACTTCAGGGATGAGGCCTCCTCATGCTGCAGCAGTGGTATGACAAAGAATTGCCTTATTTGTAAGCAAGCGGTGCACAACAACTGCTGCTGTGAGAAACCAGCATGACTGCAAAACCTGCTCTATTCAATTCTATTCAACTCTCTGTGTACTATGTGGTCGATGGCCACTTTTATTGTCTCATAAGTCAATTAGCCTCCTCAGGGGTGTGAGTTAATGGCTTCTGTTCACTGATAAACAACAAGACTGCTGGGACTTGCCACCAACCAGAGCCCTGCATATTCTCTCAAAACAATACTGCAGATTCATATTCAAGTTCACTCGACATCAGCCTCACTCAGTCACTCACTGCCCAAATGAATCAGCCGAACCACAGAGCAGTGTGTTTGCTTCGATCAGATCAATACAAATGTGGTGCTGTAAGCCGTTAGACACAGTTATCATACAGGATCAGGGGTGGCGTGAGGGCAACTGATGATAAAAAACTGTCTTACTGGACAGCAGGCCATTGATGAGGGTAAGGGGCGGTTTACATAATAGGCTGGATCCGAAGAATGTAGCCCCCCCTTTAACATTTCGACACCACCACAGCTCAGGTCAGGAAGCTGACCTGTTTAAGGATCTGCTGTCACTGGTCTGCCATTATGTCATTAATGCGACAAAAACATAAGCTAACGCACAATATGAATGTACACTGACACACATACATGCAGTCACATATGTACTCTTGCACCGGGAAGTCGAGTTCATGAACTAATAAATTTTTCCAGCTGCTTTATTTATCCCCCACCTTCCTTCCTGTCTGTTTTTTCTCTCCTTACTCTCTCCATCAATGTGATGTGAAGTGCCCTTTATAAACTCAAACCCTCAGGCTGCCTGGTGGAGCTGTGAAAAGCTACTTCTTACCTCCTGTGTGTGTTTATAGTACATATTTACTTGGGTGTATGTGTGGAGGGGTCTGTGTGTGTGTTGCAGTTTACAATTTTTTAAGGCATACTTTGTGCACTAATGTGCATGTAACCAGTATGTTTAGCTCTCACAGTGTATAGCCGTACTGTGCAGAGGAGAACTTACACAAAATACCTCATTTGCTTTTTCGTGCTGTCTTGGTTGTATAAAATATAATAAATAACTGATCTGACGCTGGTGAGGACTGACACTTTTTTGTTTCTAGCAAACCTGATTTTCATATTTATCTGTGAGGTTGGAGATTTACATACGCTTTCTCCAGGCAGGCCTCTCTTGACATGTTCTGTACCAAAAGGTTAGATGCCAGGTTGAACAGCTCCTCTGCCCATTCCTGCAATAAATAGAATACACACACACACACACACACACACACACACGCACATACACACACACACACACACACACACACACACACACACACACACACACACGCACATACAGACACACACAGGTATGGTGATAATTTGACTTCAGAAAACACACGGCTCAAACCTGATCCAACAGGGGATGATGCCCTCATCTTAAGTCTAACAACAATAGAAGAATAAAACAGAACTTGTTTTATTCATCACCATCTAAAAGAGCAGGACGTTGAGATACTGATCACACTGTTGTTACACAGCCTTTTCATCATTTTTAATTAACCTCTGTGTCATTTCAAGCTTTCATTTCAGCAATCTCTAATACCTAGAAGATCATTTTATTCAGCTGAAAACCTTTCCAAAGTCTTTTCAGGAAAATGTGGCATCAACACTGATCCCACAGACCCAAAAGGAACACCCCAATTAAAACACTGAAATTATCAAAGTTGGAGCAACAAAGTTTTCACCTAGGAACAACGATACCTATTGCATTTAATAGCTTTTTACCTTTGCCGTCTCCTCTTGGAAAGCCATGAAGTTCAGGTAGGTGATGTTGACCATATCAGGGCCACTCACCACTGTCAGCATCCTGTTCTCCATCTTCCCCGCCAGGGTGCTGACATCCAGTAGTTCACGAAGCTTGGCTTCCTTAACAATAAAACACAAGAACACACAAACACAAACAAAACATGTCATAACCAAAATCAAGCAAACTACCAGAAGTCATCAAGCTTTCAGGCTTTTTATATCAAAATGAGTCCCAGCTCATAATCACTGACATGTGAGCTCATAGTTGCAGCTGCATACACGATGTGAACTACCCCGCCTTTACAACAGTGTACTACACGTCAGCCAAATCTGCATCCAAAACCTAGCAACCCAAACAAAGAAAAAGGACATAAAACAGGTCATGGAAAAAAAAACATGGTATGTTTTTTTAATGTGGAAGCTAGAGACAGTACTGCCTTGCGTCATGGTATTGTGGTTTAATGTTGTTTCACAACAAAAATTGCCCTCTGAGCGCACTGAGCTGAAACAACACCTGTCAGTATTTTGGAGTTCATGCCTCGTCTGAATGCTGATGTGTGTGATTAATGAGAGGTCAGCTGCCTGAGGCAGACAGTGTGAGGAGCGAGGTGGGAGGCTACAGTCTCACTGGATTTTAACGTGACATGCAAGTTCCATAGTACAGGCAGCAAAAGATAAATAAAAGCAGCAAACCAGGGGGGTTAAGCAGCATTATGATATTAGGCATTTTTGTTTGTAAACTAATTAACAGGGCTGGAGGCATTGAACTGATGAAAACATGTCGATTTTTGGTAAGAAGCACAAATGACCACAAAATGGCTGCAGGGGATTTATGGTGTAATTTACTATCAATGACCCCATGACAAATCCCGCTTTCCTGCTTGTTTTCAGTGTTAAAAACATCCTCTAGTATCGTCACATTTTCAGCTTAACTATGGAAGATGATACTAAGAAGAGTAGCCAACACACAGCAGTCCTTGTGACCAGGCATAACATCACAAGACAAAATGTTTCATTAAAAATAATCAGTGGATTCACTTGCCTGAAGATATCCCATGAGCATATTGTTCCTGCTCAGAAAGATTTTTAATACATGCCTTCACAAATACTGCAAATCCATGAGAAGAAATGATCTCCACCTTGAGCAATGTGATTTTCAGATTTAACTTTAATTCCCTGCAACCTTCCTTCATCCCACAAATTCAGCAGGTTAAATGAGTCTGTTGTCTGTTGTAACCAAACACTGAGTGCTGGCAACGGTCCAGTTCACACGGAGAAAAACTCTCACAAATTTGTATTCAGAGGACATAAATGTCTGAGGAAAACTAAACCAAACTAATTTTAGCAAATATACATTTAAGCTGATCTCATCTTTGGTGCAAATCATATGAAAAACAAACTATAATGCCTTTGAGGTGTGAGAGAAGAATAACAATGATCTTTTTCTTTCCTTTGCAGCCCAGTACGCTAGTAGCATACAGAATGGTCGCTCCGGCTTAATTAACACAACAAAAAAGCCCTGTAAAGGATTTTGCAGTGAAAGCAAATGAGCTCCCACTAATTTAACCAATCAAACAAAGAGCATTGTGTCCTGTGTCACGCTGATAAATGTCCTCTACACGTCCCTCACGCCCCCCAATCAAATTGTGCGGCTTAGTGGCGCCCATTATTATCATGCTGAACTTTTCATAGGCAATAAATTTCCCCGACTGAAGAATCTCTCTTCTGACAGCCTGTCTATCTGCCCGCTTTTCATATAAGCATTCACAGTTTCATGAGGCTGGGTGGAGCACTACTTTCTTGAAAAAATACGCCTTGCTGTAATTTCAAGAAGAGAAGAAGGAGCGATAACTACTGCACATCGAAACATTACAGGTTTTCAGTCACTGATTTCCACACAGGAAAGTTATAGTTACAAGATCCTGGGCTTGACCACCAATCAGCTGGACACAAAGTGCTTATTTATGAGAATCCATCGTTGTCAACGTACGTAATCTGAATGCTCCCAGTCCCATCAATCACAGCATAAAAAGCCACTGTCAATTTGCCACAACACACAATGCTAAAGTACCCTCTGAGAGATGCTTTGGCAGTCTTCCGAAGATGAAAGGCTTCTGAGAATAAATGAGATGACAGTAAGATGCATATTTCATCTATTACAGCGCTTGAACGTCAGTACAATTTGATGCTGTTTTGATGCAACTTGTAGCCATTAGCTGAACATACAGCTCATCTCCTTGTAAGCAGTCAGCGCATGGCTGATCTAGGAGGCAGCTGCAGGCACATCCACTGGAGAAACATCAGCAGTTATGTTGAAAAAGGACTTAGTCAGAGAGAAATAAGCTGATGTCAAGGAGGATGGCCCTACTGGACAAGAGGAGAGGAGAGGAGAGGAGAGGAGAGGAGAGGAGAGGAGAGGAGAGGAGAGGAAAGGAGAGGAGAGGAGAGGAGAGGAGAGGAGAGGAGGATAAGTGTGAGAAAAAGTAAAGTAAGAAGTAAAGAAGTAAAGCTATGAAACAGTGGAACAAAGAAGAAAGGAGGGGGCTCAGCCATGTGAGCAAAATTCAATTTGTGCTGGTGCATTGTGGGAGCTGTTGGAGGCATGCCTGAGGTCCCAGATACCACAAAGATGGTGGATTTAGAGACAAACAACCTAAGGGTGGGGGTAGGATGAGATTTGGAAAGATGGTGTGGTTAAGATGATGGCTTCCTGCTTCACAACATACTTTACTGTGAGAGCCTGTATTTCCAGAGTGTATGCATGTGAATGTGTGTCACGTATTTGTGTATTCATGCTTGTGAGAATGTGTTTATTCAGGCGTACATGGTGCATGTTAGCAGCTGCAGTGTGTCAGTATTGGGAGTCCTCTCAGTCACTTAGCATTCAGGTGGAGCTGCAGCCTGAGGTAATTCACAAACTTCCTCTTCCTGCCTTATAGTTTGTCACAAGGCTGTACCTGTCAGCAGCCATGCACTCAAACGGTGTCACACTCGGTTGGGCACAAGGGAAAGGAAAGTCAGCCACACCTCAGGTCATTAAACGTGCAGCAGGGCAACCATCTAAACTCTCTATCTCTCTCTGTTTTTCACACACACACACACACACACACACACACACACACACACACACACACACACACACACACACACACACACACACACACCTTGGTTTGGCAACACACAATCGTAAATGCACACATATCCACTTGAGAGTGCACATGGATAAAACTGTCCTCAAGCAAGCACAAATCACGACACACGTATGAATACACAGACACACATAGTCACATGTGTGTGGGCATAAACACGCACACACACACACACACACACACACACACACACACACACGCACACGCACACGGGGACATCAGATCAAAGGAAATGTCAATATGAATGATTGATGATGACCCAACTACCTACACACAGGCCACCCAACACTTGCTTTTAATATACTGCATCACAGATGTCTAACCGATGCAGAATATCTAAAACTAAAGTCAAATCACACCAAATTCTAGGTGCTGTTTTTCTAAGGGACATTATAAACCTGGAGCTTCCTCTCACCCACAGAGATCCACTTTAAAATGTTTAAAAAGGACAGCAGTAGAACTGCAATATGAAAACTGTACTAAGCAGAGTTAATGATGCTTCACAAAAGATGAATTGTGATTTTTATTTTTGACAAGTACTAGTGGCGATATTTCCTGTTTTCATGAAGTGTTTCCCTTTAAAAAAAAAAAAAAAGGATAGTTGCTTTAATAAGTGAACAGTGCCTCGTTCAAAGTAGGTGCTGCCAGTGTACAAATTGATGTTACGGTTTCTTCAAAAGTCATGTGAAAAGTGTTTTTTTTTTTTTTCCTTGATGTACCAAATCTCACAAGACATGCAGTTCACAGCACAGCGTGTAAAAAAAGACATTTCGGTTGGTGTCTTGAGGATGGTTGCACTTTAGTTGACCCTGCCGGGCTGTGTGGCCTGTTGCAGTTCACACTACATATCTTAAAACAGCATATGCTTGTCAAACAAAACAATGTTTAAGAAACACAGAGTTTAAGACATGATTGTAGGGTGTATAGGCTGGTGGAAATAAATATTATTTATTGTAGGATTTATATAAGCAACATCTGGCATTTGGAAACAGGAGCAATAAGTCATAGTCTACTGTGTATTACTCCACCTGACCTGATACTTCTACATGCTCCTCATGAATTCCAAATCCCTTCATCTAACAAAACACCCAATTATGGACCCCCAACCCCCCCGAGTGCCACAGGTAGAGCTAAACATAATCTCACTTGAGCTGGAGGGATGAAAGTTATAAATCCAACTTTTACATCAGGATTCAGAGGAGCACATCTTAACGTATGCAGCGATGTCACTGCAGAGCGGGACTGCAGGTTACGAGCAGGGCACCATTTCTCCTGCTGCTGGCTAGCCTTGTTAACTAACAGAGCGGCAAGATGCTGCTGGTGGGGCAGTAAAAAGCCTCGGGCGTTGGGCAGGAAATTATGGGACATTAAGCTGGGGGTGATGTGCTCATTCTGCCACACAAATACCGCGCAGATGCGCGTTTTGTCGTTTACATGCACCTAAATTTTGAGTGGGAAATAGATATGTAATGGTGGCTGGATGATGATCCGCCCTAAGTCAATTACATTTGTGTCAATGTTATGAAGGGTTTGTGTGTGTCAGCTAGTGTATGTGCGTGCCTAGTGCTGTTACGTGCTTTCTTGTTTATCAGCCTGTATGACTCAGAGAGTACACCCACAGCAAAACTAATCCTAAAACGACTCCCTCTCCTGGCGATGCAGTCATTTATTTAAGAGGGTAACGCTGCATCTGCAGAGCATGTTTAAAACATAAGCCACATCATAACTTATACAGACAGAAAGCACTGAAACATTGATCCCATTAGAAAAAAGAGCCCCATCTTTCTGGCCAAGCCGAAACTAAAGTTTCCCTCAAATGGCCTTCCTAATCATCTGCATGCATGCACGTGCACGCACAAACGCACACGTACTGTACAGTCACAAGAATGTAGACACCATATTTTTCAAGATACCTCAAGCTGCAGTCTGCACACACAAGTAGACAGACACATACAGTATACACTTTAGAAG